CTGAGACCTAATTGAAAACAAAATGCATCAAAATGTTCTTTGGCCGCTAAAAGAAGTAAGAAACATTAGTCAACCATGAAATAATTAAAAAATATTATAACGTAAATTGTAAACCAAATTGCTTTTTGTCACGAACTATTATACCTATAATTAATTTTAAACTAGGTCTTAAGGTACGAGTAGTTCGTTACCTGGGGAATTATTTCCTTAAGCCAAGTTCAGACCGCTTCACCAATAAAATGGAGTTTGTACCTGTACTTTTGAGGTATACATTGTGAAAACGAAGGAAAATGTACTTAAGCGTTATGTGCCTTTGGTGGATTATCGAATACACCTAAAACTTTTCTTGCGCTTGTCCTGTGGCTTAAGATGCAACTACTAGGCCTATGAATGAAAAAAAAAATAAGAATTTACAACTTTGGGTTTCCTCACGATGTTTTCCTTCACCGTTTGTCAATTATATCTAAATACAGTTAGAAAGTAAATATGAGTTAGAAAAAGTCACACTGATACTTGCTGGGTTTGGAACCCGCACTCTTATGCTTTAGATTGGAGGTGCCTTTACCTCCAGGCCACCACGACTTATGTATCATTAGATTTCAATTATCACGAAATATCTACAAAGCAACAAGTTATATTAATACTAGCTATTCTCGCGCGGTTTCACCCGCTGTTCGGCTCCATTTGATCGTAGCGTGTGTTTTACACTCAGGAATATTGTAGCTATCTATCAGTGAAAGAATTTTGGGAATCCGACCATCGCTTCCAAAGATTACCCCTACATACAAACTTACAAATTTTAACTCTTTATAATTTTAGTATAGAAAGACCTAATAATATTTAGACACTGCCAATTGATGCTAAACTGAAAACAAAATAATATAGCAAACCGGTCGTCGACATACTTTACTGCGATTAATAATATATATACTATTATTACACAATGAGGTTCTGCTTTGATACCATCATAAGATTATCTCCACACTGTTTTCTATGTTGCCTCATTTTTATCGAAAAAATAGAACAAAAACAAACTGAGCTTTACATTATCGTAATCGGCCCTCTAACATTTATAGTGAGATAGCCTAGTAGCCTATATTAATTCCTATCAATATAATCGGTTATAACACAAGAGCTTTAATCCTATATTTTTTTCGACAGTTTGGCCCACAAATATATATATAAATATTATATTATACAATTATTTATTTATTTTATCTATTCTACTCGATGCTTGATCATCATCTAGCAAGCTCTACGAATGATGAAGAAGGTTAGGTTGACGTAAGTTACTTTTGTAATTTGACTCAAAAATTCTGTAGATTCAACTGAGATTTTTAGAGGTGTGATACAGTCTTTTTTTTTTATTAAAAACTGGGTCTATTGGTCTCTGTGATTTTCCCTTGTGTCGTGCGTCCACACATACAATTTCACATACGCGTCACATCGTGAACCGTAATAACTTATTGTGGATCACCCAGAGTTGTTTTATGCGGGTATCGAATCGCTGACGGGGTAGCCGGGCTGTCAATCTTGTGTTACCCGACTATTGAAAACTTCGTTCATAATTCCCCAACATGAGTCTCTAACAACCTTCTTGAAAGTAGGTAAAAACAAACATTAGTATCAGAGTATATAAATGTATTAAAACTATAAAAGATATAAAAGCACTTAGCACGCGACGCTCGCACGTCGCTTAAACTCGTATGCAGCACATGACTATGGGCCCCTGTTGTATCTAGAAACAGCTCGAATCACGTCGTCGACCTCGTCGACGATGGAGTTTCTTGCTCGTTCTTCTCAATTCGAAACTACAATTTGGAACGAGCACCTAGCTTCACTGACGAACAGACTGACAGACTACTATTCTATTTTGACGTTTCAAAAGTACCTATTTATGGTTTAGTTGGAATAAATGATTTTGATTTGATTTGATTTGACCACCTAGCTTGACTGACGAACAGACTGATAGACTACTATTCTATTTTGACGTTTCAAAAGTACCTATTTATGGTTTAGTTGGAATAAATGATTTGGACTGTGACTTTAAACATATTTATTACAAACATGCTTTTTATTTAAAGAATAACAAAGACCTAAATCCCTTAGCAACACTTATTATACATATAGGTAGGTACGCGTATATATGTATATATGTTACCCAAATACCAGAGTGGCCAGTTGTTTGTCTCAAGATCTCAGAGATGTAATGTTTGTTGTTTTAGTAACAGCAGTTCTGTACTGATGACGCCATTTGTCAAACTCTCTCAGGGACCTTCGAGTTTGGTTATAATATTATGATGGCTGCCTATCTATTTGGCTCCAGTTGGGAGAAAGTTAGATCTATCTTTTAGTTTTCTTGGATTAAAGGTTCCTTCGGAATGTGTGTAATTTACTCTGTCAATTGTGATATCTCATAGGCTAATCGATAATTGGTTTTTAAATGTAGAACACAGGAAAGGCTACGTTCCTTTTTTAAACCGCATAAAAAAATAAAACATTTTTTCAAACTGCTGCGACTGATGATCCTAAATTAAGTATTTATGAAAGTTCGTGAGAATGTATGTATGTATGTATGTTACTCTTTGTCGCAAAAACGGCTGGACCGATTTGGTTGAAATTTGGTATGTAAATAAACAGATAGTTTATTCCCTGAATTAACACATACGCTATTTTTATAAACATACCAAGCGGGCAAACTCGCTCGTGGTATCTAGTAGGTGAATTAACAAAAAATTGTAAGACTAATAGAATAATTAATAGTTTTTATTGAATTTTCTACTGATGTTGTTCTTTCGAGAATTTTCTATGGATAAATATAGAAATGTGTGTAGTTCGGATAAATACGTTCTTATAATAACTTTCAAGTTCAACATTATGACGACGGAACGTCAAAACAAATAATCCGGATCTGACGAATAATAAATTTTCATGAAACAAAACTTTTATAAAGCAAATCTCTTTGGTTGAGTTTTTTGTTAAAATTTTTTAGATATAATTATTCAGATATAAGAAATTCGTTGAGTTTAATAGTTTTTCTAATTAAAGGCTAAACTTATTGTAATTTTCTAGGTTAGTAAAATAACTAATTTATCCATTTAAGTATTTGCAAAAAGTACTCTAACCCGTTTCCGTTTAAACACTGTTCACTGTAATCTCAAGGCCGCAACTAAAACATAATGTAAATATTTTGTACCATATTTTACACAGTACATAAAATATATACATGAACAATAGACAGTCGTAAACCTTTATTTTTTATGTATGGACGTAAGTAAACAATATTTTTATAATTAAAATACCATTTGATGGGCACACACCATCCTTAATGGCAGGCCTGTACGCCAGATTAGGAACGGTAATAAACCTTTTTTTTTGCATTAAATCTGGAACAAACCATGTTTTTCGCGATTTTTTTTTTGGAAATAAGTAAGTTAAGGGCTGATTTATAAAATGTTATCTGAGGAATAAAATTTTTGCTGTCACTATATTACACAAACATTTTGACGCGAAAGCATCATAATTACTCCCCAAATAACTTTTATCTAACCATTGAAAAATCTGCTGACTGGCTATGTCTATGCTAATTTTCATCAAAATACATATATACAAACTTTCACGTTTATCTAATCAAATCATTTTAATTTCGGAGATAAATTCCATTGAGTTTTAATAATATACAAAGAAAACAAAAGCTTATTGCTTAGTGTTAGAACAAGGTGTTTTGTGTGTCTGATTTTAGAATTATTGAATACACGATAAATAGAAAACAATTTTCAACAACAGACGTACATATTTCGATGAATATAGGTAGCTTGAAACTTGACCTTCGATATTAGATCTACCCATTAATATAAATAATCACATTTCTGCTATAACTAACATTGGTCACTCACGCAATTTCCTTTATGAAGCTATCGATTTCTCCGACCTTTAGGTGTAAAAGCTTCCACTGCTGAAATGAAGGATTTTCACGACTTTTTTACTATATGTACCTCTCCATATCTAACCTATTTTTTGTATGTACCTACGTACTAGTTTATCTTTTTTATATTTCCGGGTCCTCATACTTATATGACAACTTTATTAGATTATAAAGTCGTTCCATATTTATCGGCGAATAAACTTGACTGTAATTCGAGAACGTCTATATCTGCAGATAGTGTTAGTAATAGTTTCTTTTATATATTATTTTTGAGGGATATGGCGGTGTAATAATTCTGATCATGGCTGCAAACAAGCTCTTTTTTCATCTGATGATAATTATTTATTTATTTATAGCTTCATGCACAAGAAAATGTACATAAGGTGGACTTAGTGCTTAAGTGTTCGCTACCAGCCTGACCTTTGCGTGACACAGAAAAGACTACGGATTGGCAGATGCAAGAAGCAAGCAGGAAATTTAATTAAACCGTAATAGACTGAAAAAGTATACCTACCTACTATAAAATAAGTCCCTACAATAAATCTGCACAAACAATACATATATCCAATAGGAAGTACATACATATTATAAACTTACATATATTATCACGTTTTACATAATAACTTTTAGGTGTTAGGAATGTGGGGTAGGCAGGATTGGGCCTCCAATATTCTCACTGGCAAAACAGACAGCAATCGCTGTTTTTCACTGCTTTTCTTTGAAGCCTGAATCTCTCATACGTAGTATTAAGGAACGGGGTGGTTTTTCGACAGTGAGAGTCTGACACTCCCTCTCGCTCCATCCAGAAGTAACTTGATCATTTTCAACCTCAAAAAGGGGGCTTCTATAAGATATGCACAACCTTCTCGCTTGAAGGTTTAAGTAGATTGGAATAACTAGCCTTCAACGGTCTTGCCGTCGTGTTGAAATTAGCCTCCTGAATTTAGCTTCACGGCTAGTGTGAATAGGGTCTCAACGATTGCATCACTGCTTACCATCAGGTGGGATTTAAGTCGCCGTTTTGAGACATCGACGATTCAAAACATTTACATAGTGGACGGAGAACATTGTTTACGATTTGTTTAACAAATGTTTGCATAAAACAAACATACGCATTTGCCTTTGACATGTATTCATGTAAAGATCTTGGACCCGCATAATTTTAGGAACGGGACTTTGTTGATGGAACTGAGATTTGGACAATAATTTATTATTCATTTTTCGACTATCACAGTCATTTATTTTCCTGAAATAAGCGGCCAATTAGCCTCAATCAGGTAAATAACGGTAGAAAATATTTATTCAGTTCTATACAAAAATAAATTCTTCTGTATTGCAAATAAAGCTTTAGTTTACTTCTAAAAACATTCGAAAATCTTTACTTTACACTTGTTATTTAATAAACATTTCTTAAATTTTACTTATCCAAAAAAGTTGAGTTCATTGTTATATTTTTTTCTACGCTTACATTAGTTTGAACACAAAACCAAGACCGGTTCAGCATAGATTTTATTAATCCTTAGTTTGTGGGGCTTTAAAACTTTAATATTGTAGGTGTATGTAAAAATGTTTTAAGGGGTCTGTCATGTGAGCTCTAAAACATATCAGCGCCGTCTCACTCTCACTGACTCACTGTCGCTGCAGAAAAAGTATTGACTAAATGAAAATTACCTAGTATTCGTGAAAAGCCAAAATGTTTTGTTTCATAATTTTAGTTACTTTAGCTAGTTTATAGATCTAAGTAAGTAAGCATGCGAGCTCGAAACCCCCCCCCCCCTCTCCCTAACACCCTCTCACCTCATGCAGCTGTTGTTTACCATGCAAACTACCCCAGTGTTCCACTGACCACTACATAAGTCAAACGATAAATAGAATGCTCAAAATAGTTCGTACACTTTTTGCAAACCATATTTAACTGGTGATACCTAATACTATAAAATATTGTAAGTCTTTTTGTTATTAATGTATTATGGTGACGTCATCATAATTACCATCATCAATCTTTATATGAAACTACTGAGCAAATCCAAAGGGTATTTTCCTATAACTGGGTGTCTTCAAAGACCGAGTGCACTTTAAGCAGAAAATTTAATAATCAGTACATTTGCTCAGAGCGGATTAGTGTTTGAACCTTGTTTTGTTTTTTTTCTTTGTGTTCTCTTACTAATATAGGAATGGACATATTATAGGTACCTACATATAATTCGGAAAAAATACATTATTCCTTGCTAGGAATCTAACTCCTCGTGCATTAGATGCAGGCGTTCACCTCTGACCAAGGTCTTTACGACCTTTTATTAAGAACTCAGAGAAAGTGGAAGTTGAAAATAGCAGTTTCATAAAAAACAGAAAGTAGGTACTTACTTTTTTCATAAAAAATGGAAACTAACGAAGTGATCTCATTAAAACTTCTTAATATTTAGGAAGTAATAAATTCATATCAGAATGGTGGGTGTTTTTATAAACATGATGATTACCGTTGAAAAATAGATATCTATTTATTATTTTGACAAATGTAAAGTTTCGGTTTTAATGCTTATTATATTAAATTATTCTGTTTTTTTAAAAAAACGTTGCCCCACTTTTGGATTTTCTCCTGTGTTGTGGGTGCATTCACAAACATACAATGTCACATACACATGACACCCAGACCCGAAACAACACTTTGTGGATCACACAAAGTGTTGTTCCGTGTGGGAATCGAACCCGAGACACGTTGCACGGCAGCCAGTTACACAGCCACAGCACCAACCGTGCAGTCAACGTTTAAAAGTTTTTGTTTAACGTTCAAAAGTGCCTATCGTGGTCTGAGTTGATACAATGGCGTTACTGACAAGGGCGTTACACAATACTAACAACTTGTCTAGAATTGCAATGCTGAAAGATTACCATCAGGATCTATCTGCTCGTTGGCTGCCGTAAAAATGGCATAGAAACAAATCAGGCTTTGAACTTCTGCTCAAGATAAACTAACACTGCTCTAGTACAACGCAAAACAAACGTTAATATATTCCGCTGTTCCATTCTCTAGAAGGCAATTTCCCTTGCATCGTTCACGCACATCCATTGAAAACCGAACTACAAAAAATACCTTTATCACTAAAATAATAAGGTATAAAATCAATAAATCTTCTGAGGTCAGAAATGCTCAACATTTTTGTTATTGTTTACTTAGGATTTTGTATCTAATACTTCTTCCAAAAAGTCGCTACTTTCGATATGGTAAGAGTACATATATCAATCATATTATCTCTTGTGGCTCTATAAATAAGGACTGTAATTGATTGATGGTATTAGATTTACGACCTAAAATTGATATCATGCTCAATTTTCAGTTGATAGTATCGTTATGTCTTTATAGTTTTAGAGTTAAAGGTAGAACAATATTTGTGCAGTTATTATTATTTTAATGGAGTCGTTCAATTTTGCCGGGCACCTATACATATTTTGATTAATATAGGTGTCTTTTCTTCTCGTTTAAATTAATCCGAAAAAGTTCAAGTGTGAAATATCCAAGATTCGGTACTCACAAATCGACTCAGCCGAAGTGATACCCAAGTCTTACCGAAAACCGTCGTGAGTGAACGAATCCACAATCCTCAAATGTCCCTAATTCTCAATTCCTTGACCAGAAAAAGATGGCAACGCATTTGTAACTCCTCGATATTTCATGTGGCCTTGGACAGGACAATTGTTGGCTTTATAACGCTGGCCGACCTAATCCATAACAAACCAATCACATTTTGTGTGCTCACAAATTAGTGCTAAAAAACCGACACCGTAAGGATGCAATTGTGAAATTACTTAATAAACAATCATAATGAAATATAACATAAAATTAAACTCTACCACTAAAGAAAAAGACTCAATATAGGTACCTAACTCCTAAAGACACGAAAACTATCTTGGACAAAAAGACGTAACAAATTGATAAAGTTTTATAACCAAGCCATTCAATATATGTCTGCCTTATTTAACTTGGTTGGTTGAGGTACAATTTCAGGCAATATTGGCGACGTTTTAATTAGCCAATTAGTAATTTATGGTCAATTAGTTTTCAGCTAATGTGGTAAAGTAAACATTTGCCAATTTAGAACTTGCGTTCGCGGTTAGATATAGGTAGGTATTGTTTATCGAATAGTGAAATTGTTTTAACTATTCTGCGTAACGTGCTTTTAATAATTAAAATTTGATATTCACTGGATATTGATCGGCGAAATAGTTTGAATAGCCACAATCATTTATCCAATATTTTATAAAATTAAACCTATTAACGGCATTTTTGGCTATGCTTAGTACATTTCAGTCGTTTACGACTTTTCACCTCTAATAGTATCATTACTTAAGTAGCTAGACTTCAAATGTTTCTTCTTTTGTGTTTTTTTTTGGTATCTGGTCATCAAATGAATCCTCTCGCCTAGGGTAAGAGGAGAGGGAGTGTCAGACTCTTACTGACTATCTCCTGCCAGGCCGCGGTACTTTAACCCGCAACGTATGCTGAAAATGTCGAGTTTTAAATCTATGTATACTCAAAAACAAGAGTAAGATAAATATTACATCTTATATCAGACTAAGCTTTTAAAATCACTACAAAGCCCATGAACTATTGAAGTACCTAATTAATCTAGTTCCGGCCACACAACAATAACAAATAGTTGGTACTCCATCAATAACTTCGTCCATATCACTATTTGCTATAAAAATCTACACAATTTTAATTACATTAGGTACAATTATCTTCTAATTCGCTTGGCAACAGTAGGAATGTCTTTACGTTTTATTAATTCAGAATTATATTCTCGTATACCGTCCTACACATCACGTTTTCTAATTAACTCAAAGACGTGGCCCGAATTTAATTAAAACTCTCTTATTTCTTCAACTGCCTTGTCAAATTTATTTTAACGTGCATACCTTCCTATAAGTTGTATAAGTACATGTATACATATATATGTGTGTGGTAAATGCGACTCTTATGTTAAAATGAAATTTTTGCTCGACAGAAGTAGAAGACACCTTCAGTCTATAAGAGCCCAAAGGCGTCTTCTCAGTCAGAGAAGATTTGAGCATTAAACACCACGCTTGTAACACGGATAGGCAATTCGAAATTTATAATTTGAAATTATAAGTCCAAGTTTCCTCAATACCACCACAGATGGGGCCAAAGATGTCCGATGAGGTTACGGAGCAATCGTAATAAGGTACCGCGACCTCGGCCTGAAAGCATGAGAAGGAACGTGGGGGGAGGGGGAAGGTTAAAGAGTGTGATACTTCCTCTGACCTTACCCTGGCGAGAGAATTCATTAGATAATTTTCCCACCATTAAAAACTAATGGTTTTTGTCCGTTTCTTTCACAGTGTCTTCTTTTACCATATGTCAGTAGCACCCGTTTTACCATGTAACGGCTTGAAAACGTATTGAATTTTAAACCATTAGCACGATTACATAAATCTGAGGTCGTTTTAATCAGCCGATCTGGAAGCCACCAGGGGAACTTCAGGATTGATCGTCTTAAGACCAACTAAGTAACGATCGCCCACTATTTCATACGACTTTTGAAAAACGGATATTACTATTATTAAAACCTTTTTCGGACTAAGTTATTGTATTACATGACATAGGGTTAGACATCCATTGAACCCCAACATCTTTAGATACATTATTTTAAGGAAACGGGGGTACGGTAGCGATATCTTTAACATAGGAAGGCCTCAATATACCATCGTAAAATTATTAATGAGGATTTTAGTACAGTATGTTCGATTTGAAAGGAAATATAAAATTTGTCGTTAAAATGTTAATGGCACGCTATGACGCGATTTGTATGCATCATTGGTTATTTACGTCATTACCATATTGCATTAATAATAATTATGTTTAAATATTAGACAAGGGAGCATAAACGCTGACATTACTAGAGCTACCTAATTTGAGATATGATCATTCATTATCTTCAGACTTTTTCATCCACTAGTGGATATGGGCTTCTCCTATTGCACGCCACTGAGTTCTGTATTAAACTCTTATCTGCTGCTGTTATGTACATATAAGAACAGAGAAAGAAATGTAATCCGTTCCCTTTCCCAAAATCTCCAAATCCCTAGTTTCCAAAGGGTCGGCAACGCACTCATACGTGCATGGGCGACGCTGATTGCTTACCA